AGATGGGTATAAGAGACCTAGCCTAGGGGGTCCGGGGCGCGCATTCCCCCGCGAAATGTCTGTTTCATCCAGACGCATGAAAATAACCTCTGAGGCGTTTTGACCGATCAATTTTTCTTTTTCTTTATTTGTTTCTCTGTTTTTTACTTTCCGAAAAATGGACGGTGGGGGGGGGGGGGATAAATCCGCCTGAATAAATGTTATATTTATAGCGCATATTGCACATTGCCTCTATGCGCTTTACACAGAAATAGTATAGGCCAATCTGCTATTCACTTTACAACAAAAAAAAAACCAATGAAATATTGATAAGCTATGCACTTTGCTAGCAGAACATTACTACATGCATTAACATTTGCAAATTACTGTTCAGACAAATACAGTAACATGCCGTATTTATTTCGAATGCCCAGGTCTTTATTGTTGAGTCGGGTTTTTGAAGGGGTGTTTATTCGAGGGAGGCATTTATTTATTTACTGATGTAAAATGGATAAGTATACTGTAGAGGCCTACTCAAATAAACGGCCCTTAATTTCTCACTGTGTAAATGTAGAACCTCAACACAGTACCTACCGTCAAAATGTGTTGAATTGCCTTGATCAGAGGGTGTCGTGTTCCAAATTAGACTAAGAGGGGGCGGGTCTATGAATTCGAAACGAAATAGAGGAACGGGGGTCATGAGATATGAAATTTGTTGGACTATGGCTTCTCTATATTTATCATTTATCACGACGCTACTGATTGAGGTCACAGCAGTGGCGTATCTTGGCGTGCGCGGGGCGGTGGGCGCAATCCCCTCCCAAAATTACTGGCGCCTGCGGCCCTCCAAGTCGCCCTCAAAATCAAGGTCAAGTAGTTAAAAATCACCTAAAATTTTGCGAATTAGTGACCCTCAACTGATAATCGAGCCCCCCCCCCCACTTCACCTTCGCGCTCCTGATCAGCACCCCCATTTCAAGACTTCTAGATACGCCACTGAGTCACAGTACTCCCACATTTTGTTCATGATTACCCTAAATATTTGTGAGGACAGCCCCAGGATTGTATGAGTACTTTAGGTAACGGTTTGACAGAGGGTGTAAGGCCCACCGCTGTAAAAATAGACCACGCGAAAACCGTGCAAATCGAAAGCAGATAATTAGGGGTTTTCAATATTTTTAGAATGTTAATGCTTAAGAAAACCTCGCAAAAAATCACACCCGGCCATCTGATGATAATAATATTAATAACAACAACAATAATAATAATAATAATAATAATAATAGGCCTAATTAGTTTTACATCATCGTTGATATAAAAATGGAAATGTTTATTAGTAAGTGAAATGTTTTACATTCGTGGTGTGTTTACACTTAATTGTGGGCGGAGGTTTGTACATTTGTGTTTATTTTTACGTTGTGGTTGACATACCGGTATGTTATTATTTTGTGGCAGTGACATTTGTCGGTACGTTTTTACATTTGTGATATTATATATATACATTTTGGACCTGGACTCTTGTATGTTCGGGATCGGTCTCGATTTCGTTTTAGAGCAGCCCCCCCCCCCCCCCCCACTTTCCAGTTGAGTTGAAACCCCATCTTTTCTAAATAGTCCCCCTCCTCCTTCAAATTTCCTGAAAGTCTTCTAACCCAACTAATGCACTGCAGTCCCACCCAGCCACCCAGACTCGGATGTTTAACAATATCTGCTTTTTTAGCATTATTTAGACCCCCATAAAGCACAAAAATCCACTCGCTTTAGTGGTCCTCCCCCTTGAAGAACCTGGCTACGGGCATGTAGAGCGGTGCGAAATATTGTTAGTCGGTATTTTGAAGTGGACTCTCGAGTCATTAGATTAATCTTTGATACTGATTCTGTCGAGTGTGTTTTGACATCCGTAGGGTAAATTACAATTTGTGTAAAGTATCCCCGGAAAGTACTGTATCGTTTCCGATACAAAAATTTGGTTTGCTTAAACAAATAGTGCAATTATATTAAATTATATATTAAATCTAATCTGGTTCCAGCTAATGATATACAATCTGGTCACAGTGATTGAGTAAATAATATCTAGCTGTAACTTGTAAATTAAATTATAATGAAAAAATAAACAATAAGGACGCACAATGGTCGATCCTATACCGCGGTTCCTAATATTTTTTCTAAATTTTAAATCTATTACATTTAAATTATAATTAAATATAAGTACATTATTATCATATGTATACCTTCTCTACACTAATCTAAACTATAGGTTAGTTGTAATTGTTAAATTTCTAATGAATAATGTAAATGTTAAAATTACGTATGAGAACGAAAATTGGTTTCGAAACTATTTTCATACCTCCTGCTATCCGAAAGATTGTTATGGCGAACAGTTTGGAAGTAGTTCGCGTAACTTATAACGAGATAGTAGAAATTGCAGATGAAATTGAAATGGAGACAGAAACAAGTGGTAATGTATTTTTGTTTGTTTGTATAGCTTAGATGATAGTACTTTCTGACAAACGTATTATGCATGCTGGTTGACCTGTATATTTTGTAGTTTTAAGCTCAAAAGAGGTTGTCATTTTTAGGCCAATTGTTGTTATCGTTCCGAAATCGTAAACAGACCCGTTCAGACGCCTCTGCACAGCATCAAAACAAAATTTTGTGTGGGCCTAGGCCTAGTTTATGGCAGTGACATTATACAGTTCTAAAAATACAGCGTTTGCATGATGCGTTGTGTTATAATATTTTAAGTTGCTCAGAATTACGTTCACGACGATGTCTTACACAGAACTAATCTATAATGTTATATTAAATTTATTAATTATTGTTTTAAATTTATTTTTTAACATTAAGCCTACATTTAGGCCTAGGTATAATTATGGAGGTATCATTGAGAAGGAGATCACTTGGCAACAGTTCCCTTTTGACGTGACAAACCAATGTATTCATCACCTTTGGATCACGCGCGGGCGTATTACCTTATTAACATTTTTTTCGTTAACAATTAACTAAGCAACGACATGGTTTTGTACAGAGCGGTTGTGCGATAAACCGTTTGATTTTAATTAACTCATTAAATTTCTTTAAAATTAATAATGTTCCCCTGATTGGATTTTTTGGGATTTTTAGTATGTTCTTATAATTGTTATTAACATTTAAGCTTATAATTGTTAACATTTTCAGACTTTCAGTATGTTGTTATAATTGTTATTAAGCTTACAATTTTTCAATTAAAATTAACAATGTTCCCCTGATTTGATTTTTTCAGACTTTTGTTATTATAATTGTTTATTAACATTTAAGCTTACAACTTTTCAATTAGCATACAGCACTAATGTATGCAAGGTGTTCTATACACCTTGCATATGATTATATAGAACGATCGTTCGTTACCTTAATTGGTAACATTTTGGCTTAACTAATTAATATTCATTCAATTCTTTGTATACTATTAGTTAAGAATGGCAAGTTTTTTCGTTTGTGCTTTTCTGTTTGTAGTGATGATGGGTTGGAGAGAACACCTGAAATATGTTTACCATTAAATCCTTAGTTCTTTTCTTATAATGTGATGTGTTTTTCATCAATTTGCATCCGTTTGGTTCCATCATCAAGGACTTAAGTTCGGAAGACCTGCCTATTTGTTTGATTAGGAAGTACGAGAAGATATCCCTACGTTTCATTAAAGCTGAATTGGATTATCTTTTCTTAGGCAGTTATTATGTGTATAATTCACAAACAGATTTCACAAAATATTTCTGTTACAATTACTTCTGTGTTCATTATAATTTTGTCTAAAAATTGACTTTTGACTATATAAATCTAAGGCAGCGTAAAACTGAAAAATACTCTGACTTTGGATTGAATTTTCGAATAGTTCACACTAAAATGACTTAGTTTATTATAATCTTCCATCATTTCTTAATCTGTTAAAATTAGAATTATCATGTTTTATCCTTGGAAATTCAAGTTGAAATATACCATACTTTTAAATCTCATGTAAATATTTCAATTAATTCGAAACTCTTTGTTTGTAGATATATAATATTTGGTATTTGATGAAAGATAAATATATCAGCTTCAAAATGAAAACGATTGCGCAGCCATAGTGATTGACTGTAATTAGTGCGCATTGAGAAAAGAAGGTGATCTGCATTTCGCCATGTTCAATTTTTTGGTATAAACTAAGCCTGCTGAATATTTGGTGGCAGGGAACACATTAGACTTCAAAGGCATCATGCATCTTAATGCGCTGCGACAACTTTGTTCTTAGCTCATTTGCATAGAGCTGCGTGCACGGAGCTTTTTCGAGTGATCTCCTCAATAATACCTCCATGGTATAATTATGATAATAGGGCCTAGGCCTTATTAATCCGGCCTATAATTATTATAGGCCTAGGTATTATTCCTTTAGCCTTAGGACTAGGATAGATACAGACTGTATAGTAAGGCCTGCATGGGCAAGCCCGTAGCCAGGGGGGTTCGTTGGGTTCGAACGAACCCCCCTTTTCATGAAGTGCCCTTTCAACAAAGGCTGGCTAGCCTACACTTTAGGCCTAGCCTAGAGCCTATCATCATTAAAAGTCCTATTTTAATACCTGATTATTAGGCCTACCATAATTATAACATAATGATTATAATACGTTACAACCAACCATACAAATTTGTCCCGGTTTTTTTTTGTTATTGATTATCTTAAGTGAGTATAGTATGATACAACTTCCAAAATGCTATATAAATAAAAAATAAAGAATAAACCATAGGCCTACTGGATTCCTTGGAGTTTGTATCATGCTGCTGTTGTTAAATTACCAATACTGTAGTACTAAAGTAGTAGTTTTTTTGTTTTTTTTATCTTTTCTCAACTCAAAAATTTACCTCTTTAATATATACTTTTTTTTAATGTATGGCCTCTCAAATCAATTAAGTAACACCTGTAAATGGTTAGAATGCTGGACCCCCACCGGGGTTTTAACCCTGGACCCCCAGGGGCCCTTGGCGGCCCCCTGGCCCCTGCCAATGGTGCTCGCAAGTGCCCTTTCAGTATCAAAAAGAACTCCCCTACCAAAATCCTGGCTACAGGCTTGATGGGGAATATATCCTCTGTGCAAAAATGTGGCCTAGATATGTATTTGCATGGGTAATTAAAAAATAAGTTTTTGCAGAAAAATGGTTAGGACAGAATTGCATTGTTATGCAATACATTGGTTGTATATATTGAGACAAGCCGAGACTAATTTTCTGGACAGTTGTTTTTGTTTTTTTGCAAGTTCAAAATTACTCTGGAATAAAAACAATAGGTATGATTATGAAAGCTCTTTGGAAATGTCTTAAAATAATCACTGTAGAACCTCCATGGCAAAATCAGTGCTATTGTGCCTGTCCATCTAATTTTCATAACAAAGTTCCATTCTTTTAACCATGAATTGTGACATGAATTTCTGATTCAGAGCCTTCTATTAACAGATCTTTTCTCAACTCCTATTCCTAGATTCAACATCAGTAAACAGAATGTCAGTGCAGGAGAAAAAGAAGAAAAGGGACACCAAAAGACCCGCAAGGGCAATTTATCAGCCAGGAGTCTCACGGCTGTCCCGTAACAAAGAGGAACAGAGCAATGGACAAATTGAAACAAAATCTCCTTTAGACAAAGAATCAGGTCACCCTACCACAAAGCAGTATTCACCACATAATAAGCCACAGAACCGTCCTCCTCCTGTTTCTGCCAAGTCTGAGGGACATGAACCCATCTTGAGAACTCAACAAAATACACCAACTCATCAGAAATCACATAAGGCAGACTATAGTGAGAAACAGTTTGTACCTGAAAAGTCCAGACATCTGAAAGGTGGAAACAATGTTAGAGAGCCTATCCAAAATGTAACTTCGATTGAGGACAATTCCAGATCGAATGTCACAGTAGTGAGTCAGGTTTTTACACCCTCAAATAAGCATGCAAGAAGTGGTGGGAGAGACACTGATGTAGGATCACAAATCTTTTCCAGTCAAAATGATCAAAGAGCTTTAAAACATGATAAAATTCCTGCTCTTATGGATATCAAACCATTTGGACGTGGTAGGGGGAGAGATAGAAGTGATCGCAATAAACTTACTAACCCAAAACTTCAGAGCCCCAAAAGCTATGAATCTAATCAGCAAAATCCACAAGACATGACAAGTGCAATCTCTCAGAGCGATAGTAAGCAAATGAACAGGGCACATTTAGATTCAGGTAATGAAAGTCTGACTATCACTGTGGATTTAGGACGGAGTGGCACCCAGAGGCAAGTGACAACACAGAAAATAGATACGAAGAATGAAGCAACTTGGCAAGCAGATAAGTATTCTGATATTCGTAGGAGTCCAAGTTGCACAGTTGCTGCTCAGCCAGTAATTCAAGATCACCAAGTAATATCTGTTCCTTCTGAAAATTGGCCTTCAGAGTCCAAGGAAAAAATTGTCAAAGTGGTCTCAGAGAACTGGCAAGCCCATGAGAGCAATGATCAGACGGAAGCAATGTACAAGAGCTCTGATCAGCCAGTCCTTGTTGCAACCTCACCAGCATCAGTGGTGAAAATTAAATCCGAAAATATATCACATGTACCAGAAAAACATCAAGAAATTGATGCAGTGGTTGAGGATCATGACAACAGGGGACAAAGAAGAAGAGATGATAGGCGTGGAAATAGAAAGAATGGGCAAAGAAATCAAAAGCCAGGAAAAGGTAGGCAAGATCGGTACCAGCAGACTTCTGGAAGCCAAAGTCATCCCCAAAAAGATAGTCAAGGTATAATGAAGTTGTCCATTACAGTGAATAAAAATGTCAGAGAGGTTCGGAATGTATCAAATGTTAGTCGATCTCGAAGCAGCTCTGAATCTGAACCAGAAAGGAAACCGAAGAAAGACAGGCAATATGTAGGAAGAAATCCAGGGGAAAATTGGAATAGAGAACCTGAACATAGAAGTACTGAACCTGATCAAATGAAGCCTAGAGGAGGTGGTATCTTAAAACTTCCCAGTGATCCTGGAAGTTTTGTTGGTACACCTCCAAAAGCACAACCTCAAATAGTTAGTGCTCCTGGATCAAGTCAGTACAACACCCATTACCCTCAAGCTGAGCCACGTCCCCAACGTCAGCGTGACCACAGAGGACGGTCAAAACGTGGAGATCAGAGTCGCTTGTGGGATCCAAGCAGACCTAATGAGAAGCCTGCCATACCACCCAGACAGACACAGCATGAGGAATTACAGTTCTATGATCCTGATGAAGACAACCAGTATGAATACCCAAGTAGAACCGGATCTAACCAGTTTGAGGGCCACCCAAATCAGTATACTGCTTACAAGCAGCAACCAGTGGGACATGCCAACTGGGCTGATCAGGTTGAAGCTGGCTACACTGAGCCTCCCCAAGAGTACTATCAAAGGATCCCCCCTTCATCACAAGAATATCTCCAGCAAACTAGGGCGCTGCAGACCCTCCACCGAGACTCTGCCAAGAGGTTGCTGCGTGATGCTGAAAGGTATTGCAGTGATTTACGAAGCGTCATTGATCGAAGGCTTACTAGCGAGGAAAGATTAGCAAAAGCTTTTGAAACTAGGTAAGATATATATGATGTTCTTTCCATGATGCTTAAATTATTATCCCAGTCACTGGATTAAACACCAGTAGAATACATATTAGCTACATGGTGCTTATTCCATAATAATTGCAACCTGGCTTTTGAACCCTATCAGGTACACATTTATAACCCTAGGTAGAGAACATCTTGCTGCCTTTCCCATTTACAAGCTTCCCGTTTGGTCACATGATTCTTAAAAGTATTTTAGGTAGCATAGACTGAAATGTTATATTGTATAGGAATGATGTACTGCCCCACCTGACGTGCTATTGTACTGAATGCTCAGTACGTTCCCAAATGCTTGAGAAAATCGCAAATGATTTGGTCAGAAATTGAACACATGACCTCCTGATAACTAGCCTGGTGTCTTAACAAGTAATCTTTCTTCCCGTCTTGAAGGAGTGACCTTGAGCAGCAGTATGAAGGTGTGGTGCTCCTGGATTTGAACCTCTGCCATGAGAATGGTGTCGAACAGGTCCTTTGGAAGTATGCATATCATCAGGTTATTGAAGCACTGCGTACCGAGCTACAGGATGCGGATCCAGAAGATGTTGGCTTGTTGAAATCCTGGTTGCTTAAACTTTTGGATCATGTAAGTTACAAAAAAATACAGAACAGCTTCTTATCTGTTTATCACATATACCTTCCACTCAATTCACCTAACATCATTCCTAATAGTTTACATGACTTGAAATGAAAAACTCAACTGCTAAGTTGTATTACCTCTAAAGGCCAACTCAGCGTCGTACGACGCAGCCCGACGCGGTTTGTTGTCGCGTCGGGCCTGTGTGAGTTAAACGCAGACGCGATGGTGTACGTCGGGGGCAGTTGCGTAGTAGAATATTAAACATGTTTAATATTTCTCACGACGGCTTAAGACTGTCCCCGATGAAAAATCGTGTCGGGCTGCGTCGGCCGACGCTGTCTGAGTTGGCCTTAATGCATGTACTGTGACCTCTTTGAATACATAGGTCTGTACTACTTAGTAATGTCGAGAAAACTGTACTTAATTTGTCCTTGACTGGAATACTGTGCCAACACACATGGGATCCTCACATTAAATTTAATAAAGCATTACTTGAAGAAACATATAATCATTTCACCTTATAACTCCATGATACCAGGATATAAATAACTTATTGGTTTTAAAGATGGCAACCTTCCTACTGTAAAACGTACTAACAAATCTTTTGCAAATGTTATTCCTTAATACTAATACAATGGAGGAATGATATCTCCCACTCTTCTCACTGAAACTGTCTCAACAACAACAATTTGAATGAATTTAAACTCTGGATGAATGTAACATAGCAACGAAAGATCATGGGGTGCTGAACTCCAGAATTTGACTCAATTGCTGACCAACCAACACTGAATTTTTTTTTTACTTCATCATCCTTCGGTGATAATATTGAGGTTAGAAATGTTTGCGGCTTGCCAGTTCTTTTGAAATGTAAACATCTATTAAATGTCTATTGTTTTTGTTTTTCTTTCAGGGTACAAGTTTTTATGAGGGACTGATAACAAAATTGCAGTCATCATATGGGTTCAACTTACAGCACCATACTACTTGTCTTGACCCATTACATTCTGAGAAAACGAGGAAGGTAAATTGAGTATTTTTGATAGATAGCCAACATGCATTTTTATTGTTAATAATATTTATTTTATGACAATTAATATATAATAAATTAATTAATATTATAGGCGTAAGATGGAACATCCAGCATTTTAAAAATGGGAGTGCTAAATAGAAATATTACAGAAATAATACATAACCAACATATGTGGCAAAGACAAGCCAAACCAGTCACTCGTTGGAAAAACCAATTTTTAGTTATTAATACAGTGTTTAACAGTAAAATGAGAGCTATAAAATGGTAAAAGAATCATTTAAATCCGACACTTCGTCATAAAGTTACACAAGTTTATACATACAGCTGTTTAAAGAACAATATTTGAGAAATCAGCCTTCAAAGTTTACGATTTCAGGCATTTCTTAGGCAGAAACCATCACCAAATCGTTAAAAATTATTGTTTTAACATTGAAAATGAAAATAACAGGATAGCATGATGTATAGATGTATAAAGGTTAGTTTAGTGCAATAAAATAGATTTCCAAAATTTTGAAATTCCAGCATGTTTTGGCCATTATCTCCAAAACAGGATTTGCGACAAGTCACTGGTTTGGCTTGTCTTTGCCACATATGTTTTTATTGTAAATATTATTTTATGACAGTTATCATATAATAAATTAATTAATATTATGCATAAAGTGGCACATCCATCATTTTAACAAGGTGGGTGCTGAATAGAAATATTACATCCACTGAATTTTATGCAAGACGCAATATAGGGACTGAGCATATCAATAACTATGACTACACCATAAATTGCCTGTTGTTTTCGTCTACAGTATCTTAATTTGACATATATTGTTGGCATTGTTGTTGGCATTATTATATTTTGTTATTAGTTTAATTTTTTTTATTAAATGACACAGATCAAGCTTTGCTTATTGAGTGCGCAGCGGTGTATGATTGCTCTTGGAGACCTCGCCAGATACAAAGAACATGCCAATGACACCACCAATTTTGGAAAAGCCAGAAGGTATGTTACTACAGGGTTCCTATGGTCCTTAGAAAGTACTTGAGAGTCCTTGAATTTGAGGGTCATTTTCAAGGCCCTTTAAAGTTCTTGAAAATTGACGTTCATACTTGAAAAGTCCTTGAAAACAGATTTTCCAATTTTACATTTTTTAGAATCGACTTTGTATTAACAATGTATACAATTTATTCTTTTATATGACGTGTATTTTCGGTCTGATATATTTTCCTAAACAGAACACATTCTCTGCTGTCATGATGCCACTTGCTGGTGGATTGTTGTAAACAACAGGCCGCGCCTCCTAAACTCTGCTCCCTGATTGGTTAGTTTTTTTTTGTGGATCGTGTGCAAACATGTGCTCGGTTGTGATGATCGCCCAAATTTGCATAATGCGACAGAAAAAGCTTGGTGTAATCGATAAAGTTTTTAATTAAACAGATTTATTAAAACAAATAAGACATCCTCATGATTTTATCAAATCTAGATAAATCTAACAAATTTGAATTTCATTCTTTACATATTTCCTCCATAATTAAATTAGGAACATGTTTTGAGATGTGTTTAAAGAATGAGTGAGGCTATGCATTTGTGATTTACACTGATGAATCTAACGACTGAAAAGAGTCACCCATTGTAGAAACTTGCTATGAGTGCCGTCTTCATTTCAGGTTGATTCCAATCGATTTTTAAAACAATGGAATAAGTAACTCTCACTTTATCTAATCAATAGATAATCTCTATGGCAATGCTATTGGACTACAGCTAAGCAATGCTGATGTTTCATTCACAGTGTGGTGTTTATTGTGTTATTTTGTCCAGAAATCATTGTTTATTAACTGTTTATTCAGTTTGTAGAAGTTGATTTTTGTGTTCTAGGCTGGTTTTTGAAATGCCTTTTATTAAAGAAAAAATAGGAATGATTTTGGGACTTGAAAAAAAGTTCGGTTTAGCGTGAAATTTGGTTTTCGGGGCGGTCGGACATTTGGAGATTACATTGTAATTATAAATATTCTGAGCATATCATGCAATGTACTTTAATATGAACAATACATGTGTTTGAAATGTGTTGAGTTGAATATTAAAAAATATTAGTTCTAGGATAGCCAGCCAATGTAGATAGAGATAATTTGTTACCGAGTCCCAAATTTGATACAGCGAACAAGTAGGCCTAGAGACGATGCAACTGACATTTTCTCCTTAAACACATGCCAATAGCCTTTGTGGTACCGCAATACATCATGGGAACTACTTTTGTTGTCGTTGCCAGCAGTTTTTTTTACAGTGTAAAATGTCCTTGAAAAATCGGTCCTTGTTCCTCTAACGTTGTACAGTATAGGCGAATTAACCATTATCCAGCAACATTTACTTGAAAGAAGTTTAGGCCTATTTATAATACTTTTTATATTTGATTTTTCTCAGTTGGTACCTGAAAGCACAGCAGTTAGCCCCAAGAAATGGCAGACCATACAATCAACTAGCACTACTTGCCCTTAACACTGTAAGTCTGTGATTTTCATATTGTACTTTTATTTTATCTTATTTTAGTATTTGTCAGATGGGTTGCTAGTATTATTCTGCCAAATATTGATAATAATCATGATAATAAGATCTGTAATATAGTGTATTACACAGATAGAGAAATACAAGGATAATTTTTTCCTACTGATATTATAAAGAAATTTGCCTTCCACCAGACAAAAATGTCAATATTTAACATACTGTATATAATAATCTTTTTAGCCCTAATGTGCTTTACATAAATTAACACACAAGACAAGAAAGAAAATAAATAAATAGTATACTGATAAGATTTTTTAATAATTATTGATCTATATCTTGTTTTTCTTGTCAATAGAGAAGAAAACTGGATGCTGTGTATTATTATATCAGAAGTCTTGAGGCCAGTAACCCTTTTGAGTCGGCCAGGGAAAGCTTAAACACACTGTTCGAAGAAGTTCGTCGAAAGGTAAGCTTGCAAGTTTGCTTCCCGTTGAAATCCCCATAGAGTTGTGTGATACTTTTACCTATTTCCCTCCCAAGTTCCTGATAGGAAAGGTCAACTTATAGATTGTTACACCAGTCTTAACCCAGTTCCTGATTCTGATTGGATGTTATTGTGTGTAGGGATTGAATTAGGACAGTATAACATTCAATCAGAATTAATAAGTGGTTTAAGACTGGTGTAACGGTAGCCACTACCATTTTTATAAGTTTCTGGAATTAAATGCTAATCCTCAAAATTCCTACTAAAAATCAAAGCCAAAAGCAGTCTTTTGGTATATTCACTAATTTTAAGAAAGTAAATTGTAGAACTATATAGTACACTACAGGTGACAGTGATCCTATTCAACACTCCCCACCCTCTGTTATTTGCCTTAAAATTACCAGAAAATAACAACTTTAACAATTAAAAGGTATACAGTTTTAAATTACTATTTGTCTTTATACAACTAGGTTGCCTTCACTGAACAGTCTAAGATGGAGGCATACAAGAAGAAAGTGGCATTGAAACGCCAACGAACCAAAGACCACAACAACGAGTTGAGTGCTAGAAGGGAGGTCTGGATATCACATGATGGGCATAGAGTAGAAGAGAAGAAAGGTGATGTAGAAGATGAGGAGGAGGATGAAGAGCTTGCTAAATTGACACCTGTAGAGGTATATCTTGTGTTTATTCTTTGTAATGCTCCGCAATGTACAAACATAATATCGGCGCTGGCTCGAACGGCACCCTCACCAGCGGTTCTGGTGGTGGAACAAATCTTCTTGGATAAGGACTATAAGCCATATGCCGAGTGTACACAATTTGGCTCGTGCACTTTAAAGAACCCAGTACATCTTTCGAGACAAGCAGTTGGTGGTTACCCTGGCTGGTCCATTCTGCCCCTATTGTGGACAGATGAGAGTAGCTGGTAACGGTTTACCGGGTAGCTCAGAAGCAAAAAGATGCTTAGGAGAGGAGCAAGTTACCGTACAAACTAGTCCACCCCTTGAGCACTTTGAGTCCTAACTACATTACATTATTTTTTTTCTTTTCATTGATAGTTGAACAAGCGGTTTGTTGTTAGCTTTCTAAACGTCCATGGAAAACTTTTCACAAAGATTGGGTAAGATTTTACAACAAATGCTTCGTCAATTTGAATAAAGGCTAACGATGATGACATCTATAAAATATTTATAACAATACTTTATTCAGGAGACCGTGAAAACCAATTTTTATATGGGTTCACACTATGCATCTATGAATGTATTATTTTCAATAGTATTTGTGACCTCACACCACAAAATTGATATTAAACAAACAATGCAAATATAATATATTTGTTGAAAACTGGTGATAATCACTGTGCGTGCACTGAACTATGGTGGCCTTGTGTCTATCAATCTGGCATAAAACAACTCTTCCATTTATTTACATTTGTCAATATTATTACAACTTTTTATATGCCACTTTGTTTTCTGTTATGATCAACATTGGCGAAAAACAAGACTGCACTGTGTCTACCTGAGTAAATAGATTTTATCACTTAAATAAGAGTAAATTGACTTTGCATATAGTCGAATTTGATCTAATCACAAATTATCTCAGCCACTTTCTATTCAACCTGAGTAATGTTGATTGTATTATTGTTATGCTATCAGAATGGAGACATTTGCAATGGCAGTTGAAGGGCTTCTGAATGAGTTTGCTGCCCTCTTGAATCATAGCCCGCCCCCTATCAACAGTACTAGACTCCTACAACTTATGGCCATCAACATGTTCTCCGTCAATCACACTGGATACAAAGGTTAGCCTCTCACCATGTTTAGTTTTACCCTATGTGCCTCACATTTCACTCATTGTTAGATATATTCTGTGATAATTTACATCCTTGTTAACTCATTCATTTGTTCAGTTAGTCATTCATTCATTCATTTATTTATTCATTCATTTATCCATGCATTCATTCATTCAACAATTTATTTATTCATTCATTTATTCATGCATTCATTTATTCAACCATTCAATATTTTTTTTTTTCATTCATTCATTTATTCATTCACTCAGATTTATTGAAACATTGTTCACTGAAGAACTGAACTATTTTGCATAGGAATAAACAATTTAAAAAGGTGATTCAGTTTGCTGATTGAAGCTGTCAGTTTGTAAAAGCTATGGTAACAGCAAAAATCTAGGCAATGAAAAAGTAACTACTAAGCAAAGAACGGTTGGTTTACTCCAATTGTATGTACTGTATATATCATGTATAGATATTGTATTGTGTTTATATTTTTACTTACTAATCTTTTATTTATTTCTGTACTGTGTGTTTTTTATACTTTGTAAACTCGTCAGTGGAAATTAATTTCTGATTAAAAAAAAGTTGTCTTGTTAAGGTGTTTCTATGAAACAAACACTGGACAAAAGTGATACAAACGATTGTGAATCAAAATTTTGAACTTGTTAAGAAGTGTTGTAGTATTATAGCAATTGCAGATGAGATTAAAATACATTATTGAAATAATACTCAAGATTTTAGTGTAACCATTCACTTTATCTTTATTATGTTTTATTATTTGACCATTGTGATGGATTCAAATAATTATTTAAACAATGCTTAACATTTTGTTTGTTTTTTTCTTAGATCCTCAAGATACATACCATTATGGTCGAACACCTCTTCAAGAACAAGCCATTCAGGTCGGCTTACAGATGTTTGCGCTGCTCCTTCATTCCAGTACACTACTCCTAAACGGTAACCCAACACTCAAAATCACTGTTGCTTTCAACTTAGAATTGCTGTCTCGACCATGTTGACGAGCCGTCTTTAGTGTTTAATGGGGTCTATTTTAAGTTTGGTGGAACCTTGCATTTACATATAGCTTTAAACCATGTAGTGGCCATGAATAAGAATATGTTTTAAATCGAGAATTAGAGGTCAAATTGAAGTCAAAAATCTATTGAGTAATGAGAATGATGATGATGACAAAGGGGATAATGAGAGTGACAATGATAATGAAAATATCAAATTGCTACAAATGTTTAATTGATATTTACATAATATTTCATTACAAAAGCTTTTATTAACAGGCACACAAAAATATATTCAAACTAGAGCAATCACTCCACAGAGTGACTACCTTTGCCTGTGCCTGAACAACAATAAGCAAGCAGGCTGTGTATGATGGGCAAACCTGCAGCATACCCTCCAGAAAGTAATGGAATCGCCCATCATATTCAGGTACATTATTTTCTTGAAGGCTGCCTGAATATGAGGGGCCATTCCATTATTTTCTTTTATGCTAGAGGCCTTGGTAACATACAGACAGCAGTGAATACTTAACCTCCTTGACGGAGGTAATAGTGAAAAATATACAAAAACATTACTGTAATAATTTTATGCACATATCAAGTATAAAACAACTTTTTGCTTACAAGATAACAAGATATTTTCATACATATTAAAACATTTTTTAAAAACATCTACAATGATTCATAAAATTCAGAAAATGCATAGTTCCATCTGTTGCCAGTTTATCATTAACAATAAGCAATCTTATAAATGTTTCTTTCGGTTTAGAACACCTTGATAGTCCAACTTTTAAAGATGGCAACACCTTGAACGAGGATCTGCGAGAGTTGTTACCAGGTGTGAAGGTATGGGCTGACTGGATGATGTCACATGTCCTGCTCTGGGAACAACCGCTCCTCAATCCCAACCACTACAGGTACTTATGCAATGCTAAGGTTGATGTTGCTGTTTACAATGAATGTTGATGGTGATGTCTATGTGGATGGCGATGATGATGACAATGGTGATGACGATGACCTTGGTGAACCACAATGACAGTGGAGGAATGGTGATGGTCATGGATGATTTTGATACTGATAATGTACATGATTGTGGTGATGGTTGATAATGGTGATGCTGATAATGAAGAAGACAGTGACAAATGTTTTGATAATGATGTTAATGTTGAAAGCCTTAATAATGGTGATGATATTAATGAAAATTATGGTGATGATGGTCTTAATGTTGATGACAGTGATGGTGATGAGGAAGATACTGTAGTGATGCTGATGAAGATGATTGTAATGATAAAAAAGATAAAGACAATGATGGTGACAATGATGACGGTTCCCAAATGAGGCCGATATTGATGGTGATGATGATGTTGACAATGACAATAATACATGATGACAATAATAATAATAATAATAATGATATGTTAACAACAACTATGATGACAATGATAAAGATAGTGGAATTATATGTAATAAAAATTTTTTTAAATAATAAATAAATACTGTTTATGTTCTTTAATATTTTATTTATTTTTCTCCACTCAGTGCCACAAAAGATGTGTGGGAAGAGATTGCAAATCTTCTGAACACAATTATTACAATTGACTCATCACCTACCAATTTCTCACTAACAAAGAAAGAAGGTAAGTATTAATTTTTATTATTGAGATAACATAATGGTTTTTAACTGGAATTTCACCTATTAGCGCATTTCTTTCACAATAAATTTAAATACAATAGTACTGAATGTTGCTTTTTTTATAATGAACATAAAATTATATGTTTGTCGTAGGCTGGCAGGAGGTTGTACTACCAGAGGATGCAGCAATGGCAGGCTTTGTACCTCTGCAGACCATTCCATTACAGCCATTTTATGTTCCTCCAGGCCAGGATAAGGTAGGCTAGCCTTTATTCCCCTACACACTTGAGTGCATTATGGGAGTAAATGCTCTCATAATTTTTTTCTTTTATATCTTTAAACCTTTATATTTTATATTGTTTATGCTTAGATTCCTTCAATGGACAAGGTACGTGTGAATGCGCTAGTGACATGGGGTAACATCATGGAAGGACAAGAGTGCCCTCTTGTGGCATACAGTGCTGCTAAGAAGCAATACTACTCATGTGCTCCATCACAAAACCATCCACTATTACAAAATGATAAAATAGAGAATGAACATTTAAATATGGTAAGTTTCCAAGAACTTTGAATGTATTATTACTACGGTATATACTTGGTAAACTTCAATTTGTAAATTTTTTATAGATTGTAATAAATGCAATTTGATTGATTGATACTTCATATATTATGTGTTATTACTATATACAGGTCTCCCTCCAATTAAAGACCACTTTTTGGACTGGGGTTTACACGGTCTTAAGCAGCTTTGGTCTCTAATTAGAATAATAAAAATAAAAGAAATTTGTTCATTTGGGACAACAGAAAAGTGGTTTTTAATTGGAGGTGGTCATTAATTGGAGGGGTCTTTAATTAGAGTGAGACCTATATTACTGTTAAAATAAAGAATGACTACCAGTATATAAATATGTTTTGATCTTTACCGCCTGGTTCTCACGAGAGCCTTAGTGTCCCGATCGGGAGCTAACCGTTAGCGCTAACCGTTAGCACCTGCGTGAGAACGCCCGATTGGTTAGCGTTAACCGTTAGCGGTATCAAGATACGCTAACGGTTAGCAAGCGCTATTGGTTAGCAGGTTGAGGGCGTTTCTATCATCAACCAATCACACGTACGCGTTTACAATTTCCAGTTTCTTATTGGCCAGTGATTCGATCATCATATTGTTGGTATCCGGATCGGGATTTTCTCGCATGGACGCACAGCAGCTATCGGTTAGCAGGATCCGGATCCTGCTAGCCGTGTGAGAAAATAGCCAAAATGTATTATTACTATATATTACTATGTTATTAAAATTGTAAAATCTTTGTATGGATACAGTCACTATAAATTGATTTCTTTAAATTCTGCTAGATTATTATTATTATAATTGTATAAAATTATTATTGCTGCGAAGCAGCCAATTCATATTCTTGACAGCAATTTGACCTCTGAAAGGTCATTGTTTGTCAAAAATCAATCGCCTGAGACAACTGAAAAGCGGAGTTTCCTTCTTTCGTTCTGCCGGGTAAAATCAATTACTTTAGGCAACGTTTGTAGACTAACCTACTCGTACCAACGTCGGCATGTCGCGAAGCTGGAGTATTTCTACGTTTAATCGGCTCATGTCTCAGCCACAATATTTTGAGGACAATATTATTTACGAAC